CACTATAAAATAAATGAATTACTTGAATTCTGAACCCATGTATTCAGTTCATTACTAATTGAAATGGTCATTTTGTTGAGTTTTAATCTTTCAGGCGAGGTCTCTTAAGAATTTTAATGGAAATTTTAGAAGAAAAGTCCTTAAAAGGATGGAAAAAGTTTACTTTAAAGTGATACTTGAGATTTCTAAGAAAATTGCCGCCATAATCAGTAGGGTTGAAATATGACATAGGAATGCAGTGTTTTTCTGAGTTTGTTTAATGCACAGCTAAGGAAGAGTTTGAGATCATCTTAGTTGTTTAATGAGAACTCCAGTCAACTATAGTGAAGGTCCTCTGCATATAGAACTGCTGCTTTAATGCTTATGAATCAGAGTAAGAATCTGTCCTTAAATATATTAAAAATTGAATCAGTAATTTTAAAATAGAATTATAAAACACACAACACTCAAAATCATCATGTGATAGTCTAACCTGTTCAGTTTCTGCAAAATAAAATCTTGCCTTGTTAATATAGTAGGGTCCCATAAACAAGTCAGTAAAATAACCGATAAAGGAAAGGCATCCCTGTTAATGTCAATTATTTGGGCTTTCAAGAGACTTTTAACCAAACCTTCACAAATTATTTAAAAAAAAAAACCTCTTGGCAGTGTACCCTCTTAATTTTGGATATGTCCATGTGCGGACATATTGGTACACGCACAAAATTCATTCTTCATATGAATGATCTGTGGTGGGAGTGGGGCCAAGGGATTTGGAGCATGGGAGGGCCCTGGAAGTGGGGGAGAGGGGAAGATGAAGGCTCTGGGTGGTGATGAGATGTTTGGTGTGCAGGAGGGGGCTCAAAGCTGGGGCCAAGGAGTTTGAAGTGTGGAAGCTGGCTCAAGGTAGGAGGTTGGGGTAGGGCTGCAGGGCCTGTACAGGAGCTAGAGTACTGGAGGTGGCTCAGGTTTGGAGTGTGGAGACTAGGGTAGTAGGAGGAGCTGGGGTAGGAGATTGGATTATGGGTCCCTTACCTGGGGCAGCTCTCGTTTGGTGTGTGTGAGGGATAGGTGGCTCCATACTACCCAGTGGAAGCTGCGGGGATATAGTTTCTCGGTGCTTCCGGTGACTTGGCTCCCACTGGGGGAAGAAACAGCAGCACACAAAGCTACCTCTATGCCCTGCCAGAAATGCTGCAGCCCCTAAAGCCTCTTTCTTATCCAGTTCTGCTGCTTGGACCAGAAGAGTGTGCCTTTCCTCTGGCTGCAGCAGTCCTGAGCCCCTGCAGCCATGCAGCTTAGAGGTAACCTTGAGTTTTGGTGTAATAGACAACTTAGCCAGCTTCTGATCCTTGCCAGTAAGAGAGAAAATGGAGGAATAAATGTTTATCACAACAAACATTTAACTGTATTTGCTATAAAGGTCGAAAGTAGCACATGTTGAATACATTAATAATTTTAAAAGGGTGTGAGCAGTTCTGAATGCGAACTTGTAGATACAGATTTTTCGGGCAAGGCTGCAGAATATTGAACTTCAGAAAGATCCTTACGAAGTTAGGTAAATGCATAACACAGCATATTACATTAATTAACAATTACAAAGTAGTTTAAATTATTTCCTTAAATGCTCTTTAATCATACACCTTTCAGGGTTCTAAATTAATTGCAAAAACTAGGAAAATAACTGTGGCCAGCAAAATTAAGACTTAAGTTCAATATGTAGCAGTTGTCTAAAAAGCAAATAAGGTTAGAATGCCTAACTAGTGCCCGTCTGTATCCACAAATAAGCCACGTACAGCTGCAGATGCAGAAATCTGTGGATATCTACAGATTTGCAAGGGTCTGTGCATAAAGAATGACAGGAATAATAGTAGAGAAGTGTTGTCAATTATATAAATAGTGTGTTCTAACCTGGACTGCAGTATTTTTTATCACCTCACCAAAAAAAATTGCATTATTTGAAGGAGCTCAGAAGATTAGCGATTAAGGTGGTGGATAAATTATCATGAAGAGTTGTAAATATTGTTACTTCTCCCTTTGATAGTGTCCCTCCTAAGTAGTCTCCTTTAATAGTATTAGTATAGAATAGATAGGCAGTTTGTTCTCTTATAACACAAAGACAAGGAACCATTTATTGAAACTGAAATGGCAAGTTCAAAACTGGTAAAGATTTCATTTTTCACACTAGTCACAATTAAATTTGTGAACTTCTGGTAGCAAATTAATCACTGAGACAAATTACCTAGAAGACTTCAAAAATTTAGATGTTTAGAGGGGTAATAAGGATATCAGTTAAGTAAATATAACGAATGTGAAATGTATATATATTAGTAAGGCATTTGATATGGTCTCACATGATCTTCTTATCAATAAATTAGGCAAATACAATTTAGGTGGGGATACTATAAGGTGGGTGCAGAACTGGCTGGATAACCGTTCTCAGAGTAGTTATTGGTTCACATCCTGCTGGAAGGAAATAACAAGTAGGGTTCCGCAGGGATCTGTTTTGGGGCCGGTTCTGTTCAATATCTTCATTAACGATTTAGATATTGGCATAGAGAGTATGCTTATTAAGTTTGTAGATGATACCAAGCTGGGAGGGGTTGCAACTGCTTTGGAGGATAGGGTCATAATTCAAAATGATCTGGACAATCTGGAGAAATGGTCTGAGGTAAATAGGTTGAAATTTAATAAAGACAAATGCAAAGTACTCCACTTAGGAAGGAACAATCTGTTTCATATATACAAAATGTGAAGTGACTGTCTAGGAAGGAGTACTGCAGAAAGGGATCATAGTGAACCACAAGCTAAATATGAGTCAACAGTGTGACACTGTTGCAAAAAAACTAACATGATTCTGAGATGCATTAACAGGTATGTTGTGAGCAAGATACGAGAAGTCATTCTTCTGCTCTACTCTGCGCTGATTAGGCCTCAGTTGGAGTATTATGTCCAGTTCTGGGCACTATATTTCAAGAAAGATGTGGAGAAATTGGAGAAGGTCCAGAGAGGAGCAACAAGAATGATTAAAGGTCTAGAGAAGATGACACATGATGGAAGACTGAAAGAATTGGGCTTGTTTAGTTTGGAAAGGAGAAGACAGAGAGGGGACATGTTAGCAGTTTTCAGGTATCTAAAAGGGTGCCAAAAGGAGGAGGAGGAAAAATTGTTCTCCTTAAACTGCAGCAAGAAAGGTTTAGGCTGGACATTAGGTAAAACTTCCTAACTATCAGGGTAGTTAAACACTGGAATATATTGCTTAGGGAGGTTGTGGAAGTGCATAATGGAGATATTTAAGAACAGGTTAGATAGGTATCTATCAGGGATGGTCTAGAACAGTGTTTCCCAATTTTATTTGGCCACGGAACCCTTTTAAACTTGAAAGAAGTTTGCGGAACCCCTAATAACAGCCTAATATGTGGAGCTGAAAAAGTAGACCACAAATAATTAAGGATAATTAACAAATGCTAAACAAGGTCATGAGATCAATATTTAGTTTAATTGCACATATTTAAAAACAAAAAAATTACACTTTTTTTTAAATCATAAAATGTTGTTGTAATGGAATTTTCTCGCGGAACCCTTATTTTCACTTTGCGGAACCCCGGGGTTCCACGGAACACCATTTGTGAAACAGTGGTCTAGAAGGTACTGGGTATTGCCGTGAGGGCAAGAGGCTGGACTTGATGACCTCTCGAGGTCCCTTCCAGTTCTAGTGTTCTATGATTCTGGTAATTTCGTAAAAGCATTTTGCAGGATTCCTTCCTCTGTCCTCATAATCACAGTGTTTGTGATTCTAGTTGATCAGTTGTCATAGTTTTCCAGCCTAACCAAGATACTAATTTCTAATGCACATTTTTGAAACAGCCTTTCCCCCACCTTTAAATATTAAAAAGAAGCAAAAAGGCATAAAACAATTTTTTTTTGCAATTCATCTTTTAAAAGTATCTCTATGTTGAGCCTGAAACTCTAATGTACTATATTAGTTTCCATTTGAATCTGTTAATGTAACTTACTGTACTCTAGCAACCTTTAGTTCTATTTTATTAGACTTGCTCATAGTGGAAATACGTAACGGTCAAATTCTGAAATTAGATAATTCAGTGCTTCGTGGACAAATCTTCTTTCAAGCTTCTCCATATAAGGTTACTTTGCAAAGAACCCTTGTTAGGATTGAAAGTTTTATTCTTTTTATATTTCTTATCTTGGGTTTAGTAATGTAAGGTAATATATATAATCATATTTAATATTGTAATAAGTCAAATTTTTAGTAAAGTATATATCTGCTATAGTTCCTTGTTCTAAAGTTTTAGTAAGTAAAGAGACAGGATCTCATATTGTGTCTATGCTAATGAGATTAGAAATATCGAAGGCCCGGGCCTTCAATGTGAATTCTTTTGCTTTTGCTTAATATAAAACAGTATTGTTTACCTTTGAAGGATTCTGTGAGAGACTGTTTGTATGAATGAGATAGGGTGTGAAGGTCATCGTTAGAGCCAGATGGCCAGAGAAGGGGGAGAATGTGGAGTGAAGACAAACTGTAAAAGACAGACTGCGAAGAACAGAGAAACCATCAGTGCGTACCCACGGTCAAGAATGGATCAGATTGGCAGAATTGACAGCTGTAAAGGTGAAGGGTGGGCACCCCTGAAAACAACTGATTTAATCCAGGACAGGAAGAGCCTTCAAAAGATGTTTGAGAATGATTGACATCAACAAGATAACATTCTGGTCACAAGCTGACAGAGCGGGATCCATGGATTTTAACAGAGAAGGAGAATTATATAAAGCACGGTGCTTTGCTATGGAACTTTGGGTTCTGTCCTGCCATGACACCATCCCAAGAGGAGCATCGGATCATAACCAACAAAGGCCCCGCTCTCCCCGCGTTCGATCTAGCTGGCCACTAGATTGATGCAGACTCTGGACTGGTAACAATGATATCATTTGGCAGGATGATGTATGCATGTTGTGGGGGGGGGTGTGTGTGAGAGAGAGATTGAAAAGCATATGCAAATGTTGTATTCTCAATAAATGTAGGCTGTGTCTACATTGGCACCCTTTTCCGGAAAAGGGATGCTAATGAGACAAGTCGGAATTGCAAATGCTGCGGGGGATTTAAATATCCCCTGCGGCATTTGCATGAACATGGCTGCCGCTTTTTTCCGGCTCAGGGCTTTGCCAGAGAAAAGCGCCAGTCTAGACGGGATCTTTCGGAAAATAAAGCCTTTTTCGGAAGATCCCTTATTCCTGATTTTAAGAGGAATAAGGGATCTTCCGGAAAAGGCTTTATTTTCCGAAAGATCCCGTCTAGACTGGCGCTTTTCTCTGGCAAAGCCCTGAGCCGGAAAAAAGCGGCAGCCATGTTCATGCAAATGCCGCGGGGGATTTAAATATCCCCCGCGGCATTTGCAATTCCAACTTGTCTCATTAGCATCCCTTTTCCGGAAAAGGGTGCCAATGTAGACACAGCTGAGGAGTACTGCCTTTTCCCCCATAAAAGATCTTGTGTGCTTCGTTTAAGCATAACACCCTAATACATACATTTTTCTTGTTAGATGTACTTGAGGGATACAATGGTACAATATTTGCTTATGGACAAACATCATCTGGGAAAACTCACACTATGGAGGTAAGGTACCCTAAAAGGACTTTCTCATAAACTATTTTTCCATAGTACTATAACGTTATCCTTTTGAAATAAAAGTTCTCAGCCTCTTCTGTTTATCTAGAATCCTTTCCTTCACAATTACTTGGTGGGCTTGATCATAATATGTTTGGCATCATTAGTACCATGAGTCTGAGAATAGCAGTAATTAACTTGTGGAGCCTTATATGGCCCTCCAACTGCAGAATAAGTAACATCAAGTATTCCATTAAGCGCAGTTTTATCTTCAATTTAGTATTTAAAAGGTTTCATGAGGTCATTTTTTTGCCCTAACAAATTTTGATCCTAAATGGATTGGCATGACTTCTTAAACATTTTCTCTCTAGTTAGTGTTCTAAAATCAGCTCCTTCTGTGTTTAGTTTTTTTCTTTGATTATTAGAAAGTTATTGTGTTCAGGGAATTATAACTGAAAAAGAATATTGCATTTAGTTCTTCTTTTTTCCAAAAGGGAAAACTTCATGATCCAGATGGGATGGGGATTATTCCAAGAATAGTGCAAGATATTTTTAATTATATTTACTCCATGGATGAAAATTTGGAGTTCCACATTAAGGTAAATTGGTTTAAGTAGTACTATTGAAATAAAGTTGCATCTGGTTTAAAACTAGTCATGGTTAAATTATTGGACTTTTTGGTGCATGTGCAAGTCTCCAATTTCATTTGGAAGCTCTGAATCTGAAGATAAAAGTTGGGAATCTCTATTTTTCTTAATATGGAAATCATTGTCAATAATATGCTAATCTTAAAGTGAGGGAATTTATCCTTTGGTAATGAAATTTTGGTTCAATCACAAATTTTTGAACTAGGTGCAGGAATCATTGGAAGAAAGCCATCTGTTAGACAGGAGGTCAGACTAAATTACTCAGTGGTCCCTATGAATTACTGTGTTTTTAATGCTGTATTTTTTTTATTAGGTGTCATATTTTGAAATATACTTGGATAAAATAAGGGACCTTTTAGATGGTAAGTGTGTGCCCTTTATATAGGATCGGGGTAGCAGTTTTAGGCAAAGAAAGGGAAAGAAACTTTGCCACCAGATTAAGATAGTTACATGGTATATTAATAATACATTGTAAATGGCAACTGTAAATGTAGTCTTTCAGTGGTTTTCATAACCTCATAGTTGTAAAGTTTAAGAATAGTTCAGCCTTTTCTGTGTATAATGTGATATCTATATAAATACATTTGGATTTCTCTGATGGCTATTTTGTGTAAATCCCTGTTCAGAGATTAGAATATAGGAATTGCATGAGATACCGTGGGAAATGTTTGTTTCCCTGGGCATATATACTGAAAACTGCTCATTCACCATGCTATTGTGTGAACAAATTAAATATCTGTAGATTTTTTTTTTCTTCCAGTTTCAAAGACCAACCTTTCTGTTCATGAGGACAAAAATAGAGTTCCTTATGTAAAAGTGAGTATGAGTTACACTATTGACCTAACCTACTTTTCTCCAGCGTCCATCACTTATCTATGTTTTGTCCATTTTTAAAGGGTTGCACTGAACGTTTTGTATGTAGTCCAGATGAAGTTATGGATACTATAGATGAAGGAAAATCTAACAGACATGTAGCAGTTACAAGTAAGTGGTTTTTTTACATGGCATTTTTTCTTTTCATTTATTTTATAAATGAGTGAGATACATTTGCAGTTTGTAAGTGAATGATTGTAGTTTTTTGAAAGATTGGCTCATGTGATTGACCATTATGTGTTACTTGAAGCGGGGAGGCAGGAGTGAGTTAAAACAAGTAAAACAATCTTGGTCTACTAAAAAGTTTGTCTCCTTCATCTAATTTTCTGTTGCTGGGGTGGAGTTACTCAACCTGAGGTTGCGTGCCCCCTCTTGGAGTAGGGGCAGAGCACAAGTATGGGGTAATGAAAGTTCATGGTCCCACATCTAGAGGTGATCCTGGCAGTTAGACAAGTAAGTCTAACATCAGTACTGGGCAAATTAGTTGAAACTATAGCAGGGATGGGGAGTCTGAGGCCCGGGGGTTGGTTGCAGCTCCTGAAGATCAGAGATCCTCTGCATTGGGGAGCCCGTGCCTGTGCTCCAGCTCCCCTGACATCCACCCACAGAACTGGAGCACACAAAATCTACTAGCTTGTGTCCCCCTAGGCTCTGGTGTGCGAGGGGAATGTGAGTTGTTCTCCTCAATCAGACTTTTCACTTTGCCTCCAACTGAGTTTTCTGTGGGTCAGTGGCCTCCGACCCAAAAAAATTACCCCACTCCGAACTATAGTAAAGAATAAAATTATCAGACGCATAGATGAACATAACCTGTTGGGGGGGGAGGGAGTCAATGTGGTTTCTGTAAAGGGAAATCATGCTTACTAATCTACTAGAGTCCTTTGAGGAGATTAACAAACGTGGGCAAGAGGAATCCAGTAGATATAGTGTACTTAGATTTCCAGAGAGCCTTTGACAAGATCTCTCACCAAAGGCTCTTAAGTAAAGTAAGTTGTCATGACATAAGAGGGAAGGTCCTCTTGTGGCTTGATAACTGATTAAATACAGAAAACAAACGGTAGGAATAAATGGTAAGGAATAAATGGTAAGTTTTCAGAATGGAGAGAGGTAACTAGTGATATCTCCCAAGGGTCTGTACGAGGACCAATCCTACTCAATATATTTATAAATAATCTGGAGAAAGGGGAAAACAGTGAGGTGGCAAAATTTGCAGATGATACTAAACCGCTCAAGATCATTAAGACCAAAGCAGACTGTGAAGAGCTTCAAAAAGAACTCACCAAACTAAGTGATTGGACAACAAAATGGTAAATTAAATGTAATGAGGGTAAATGTAAAGTAATGCACACTGGAAAGAATAATCTCAACTATATATACAATATGATGGGCAATAATTTGGCTACAACTACTTAGGGTGTGTCTAGACTACTGAGGCTTTTTTCCCCCAAAAAAAGTGGCCTTTTTCTTAAAAAAAAAAAAAAAAAAAAAAAAATTCACCTGCATCTAGACTGCTGTCGTGTTCTCTTCAAATTAAATTGAAAGAACGTGGCGTTTTTTTCATAATCGGTAAACCTACTTTTAGGATTAGATGTGGGTATACGATGGTTTTGAATACTGCGTACAGACATGATCGCCTTATCTCAAAAACGATATATTGGCATTGGAAAAGTTTCAGAAAAGGACAACAAAAATGATTAAGGGTTTGGAATGGGTCCGCAATGAAGAGAGATTAAAAAGACTAGGACTTTTCAGCTTAGAAAAGAAGAGACTAAGGGGGAATATGATAGAGGTCTGGCGTGGAAAAAGTGAATAAAGAAAAATTATTTACTTGTTCCCATAACGTAAGAGCTAGGGGTCACCAAATTAAATTAATAGGTAGCAGGTTTAAAACAAATAAAAGGACATTTTTCTTCACATAGCACACAGTCAACCTGTGGAATTCCTTGATAGAGGATGTTGTGAAGTCCAGGAGTTTAACAGGATTCAAGAAAGAAGTAGATGAATTCATGGAGGTTAGGTCCATTAGTGGGTTTTAGCCAGGATGGGTAGGAATGATGTCCCTAGCCTTTGTCAGAGGCTGGGAATGGGTGACAGGAGAGGGATTGCTTGAAGATTCCCTGTTCACTCCCTCTGGGGCATCTGGCATTGGCCACTGTCAGAAGGCAGGATAGTGGGCTAGATGGATCTGTGGCCATTTTTATCTATGCCTCTCACTCCATGAATGTTCTCCTGTATCTGAAAGTAAAGCGCTCTGTGTCTCATGAAGCCACTTGCTTTTTGAGAAAGCACTCTGTGTCTCATGAAGCCTACTGTAGAGGCCTGAAACACAGCTGACCACAAGATGCTCATGTTTATCTGTAGATATAAGCAACATGCCATAGGCCCAAATTTCTTTCTTTGGTCCTATAACAGTCCACGGAGTTGTGAAAGTATATGCCTTATGTCTTTGGAGCAATCCGTGGAGACTCACTATAAATATATGTAGCTGTCTACTGAATGAGACGTAGGGAGGGAAAGCTATAAAATGAGATGTCAAAAAGAGGAAAAACAGTATGCTGTGGGCACAGGAACAGAGTCAGGAAAAGCAAAATTGAAGCAGAAGAGAAAACAATATAAATATGGCAGCATTCGACAAAGGGAACAGACAGAGGGCTTCATCAGAAAAATGTTAAGAACTCCTGTTGTGGAGCTTTCCTGTTCCTGCTGCCTTTTTTTTTTTTTTTTTTATCAGTATAAGGTTGGGGAATGCAATCCAATACCATGTCCAAACTTGCATTATCCCTCCCTTAGATCAGATGAACATTTTGGAGGAGTGATGCACCAAATGTAGTTCTTTTTTTTTTTTTCTTGTTCCAATAAGGAACAGAAACCAAGACTGGTTTCTTGAGGAACAGGGAAGTAACAGTGGCTATGGGGAACAAGAGGAGTTTACGTTTCCTTAGTTTTTCTTGTAGCTATCAGAACATCTTTGGAGGGCTGTGAGGGATTTAGGGTGGTTTCTGCCTGACACAGGGCAAAATACATCAGTTTAGACTTTTGGTACTAAACCTGAACTGTTCTAATTCAGTATGAATCATGTTTCTAAAATGTGAAACACAACTATGCTGTTAATATAGCACTAGCTTAAAGGTGTAACACAAAACCACTATCTTACATGTATAACAAATGAAACAAAGTAAAAGCTTTTTTTAATCCGGCATGTTGGGGGAATGAAGGGGCTGATAAGTGGGAAAAATTCCAGTTAATTAAGAGGGATAGAGTTTGGATGTGGAGTGTGGCTTCTGGAAGGGAGTTTAGATGCGGGTGTGGGTTGGAGTGTTTCAGGATGCTGATCCAGGAGGTGCTCATCTTGAGTGGCTCCCTGCAAGTGGTGATCTTTCCCTGCCACTCCTGGTAGAGGCACAGCTAGGTGACTCTGCTGCCTCAGTCCCATCCTCCTGCCTCCCCCACACTCCTCAAGTGGTGGCTCTGCAGCTCCCATTGGCTAGAAACCAACCCCTAGTCCAACAGTCCTAACCCTTCAGTGCTGTTCCTCTGCCTAGGAGAAGCAGGGACATATTGCCATTTCCAGGGAGCCATGTGGGACCTGCCAACCAGACTTTATGAAGATCAGAAATGCTAGTTTATAGAGCTTTCTAGTTGGTATAGAGCTGGGTAACACAGCTTTTACTGTAGTTTCTAAGGGCTCATCTAGACTACTTAGAACAGGGGTCTCCAAACTTTTCTGCCCGAGGGCCGCATTAACTATCAAACAGCAGTTTGGGGGCCGACTACACACTTGAGGTCCAAATAAAAAACAATCAAAACATGGATGTTGTTTTTAATTATTTATTTAATATTATTTTATTCAGTTATTATTTAATAACACATTCATACACTACACATGAACACCTGTATTAGTGTGAATGGTGAAATTGTTTCCTGGATGCCAAAATAGCAGACATTTCTGGCTTTAGATTTGTTGTCCCTAACATCAACAGTGACCTGAGATTATCATCGGACAAGTTTGTTCTCAAATTGTTCTTCACGTATTTCATTCTTGAAAATGTTTCCATAATCCTGGCAATACGTTCAGCCTAAGACACTCACACTTGAAGAGATGTGATCGCTCTCCTATCATGCAGGGAATGAGGTGACAATTTGTAACATAGCCTCATGGAACAAGGGGCATGCATTTTAATGGGAAAAGCTGGTTTGAAAGCAGACACGTAATCACTGTGCCACAGCAACCAGACTGCCTCCTGCAATGGGCACCAGCTCCTCAGCCCCGCCCCCGGAGAAGTAGCCCCTCGCTCCTAGCCCCTGAGAAACCACCGTCGGGTTTCCTCCCCTCCGTCCAGCCTCCCGCGATCCTCTGCCGCCGGGTCTGATCTGGAGCCCGCCTTCGAGACCCCCCTTTTTCGCCCGCCCGGCCAAGCGGCACGCGGAGCCGTCCCTGACCTGGGCTACCTGCTGTCCCGTGCGCGCGCTGGGGCCTCGCGCAGCCGCCTGCGAATCCGTTTCTCCCGCTGACACCAATGCTCGGACTCAAGCTCTCTCCTTCCACCGCCGCAGCCACCCTCCGCCTGATTGGCTCTGGTTGGTGCACGCGGAAGAAGGCGGGGCCAGACAAAAAGGTCTCCACGGGCTGGATGAGAGGGCCTCGCGGGCCACATCCGTCCCGCGGGCCGCAGTTTGGAGACCCCTGACTTAGAAGATTCAAAAGAGTAT